TTTTTTTTCAGTTTTAGCCAATCATACAGCAAAACGGACATAGATGAGAGAACTCAGGGCCATACAGTCCATAAGAGTAATAATGGGACAAATTCATGTGTCACCACAGCGCCCGGAGGGACTTTATTACCTGACTTCCCAAAGCCCAGCAAACTGACCTTACCGGAGGACGTGTCCCAAGAAAAAGTGAGAGAATGTGTTGGATTAATATTATTAAGGATACAAATATCAATAAAGTTTTCTACGCTATGGTCAGATTTTCTCAGATTGATATTAAGAAATTTAAGGGAAGAGTCATTACTTATCGTTGGGGGTGGGGGAATCGCCAAATAATGATCAGTCTCGATATCTAATTAGCCTCTAATACTTTGGCCCCTGACACTGCTTTTACTCAGTACGTTTTCGAAGGCTGAAAATTGACTTAGAGGAAACGTTTTTTTTACAGGTCAAAACGTTTCTTATCATGTACCGTGCACACTGCCAAAGAATTCTAGACACCATCCTGAGAGCAAACTTTGGAGAGGTAAGTTTCTCAATAACAAAAAGGAGTGTTCAATTGTTTGAGGACTTGTTTACATTTGTGTATTATTTGTTTATTTGTTTATCTATTTGTATCTTTATTTATTTTTGATTACTGCACCGCTTCACTGAGCCAAAAACGTTTTTAAGTTGAGGGCAGGAGAATTCCTCTCTAATAATAACTTTCCATTTGAAATCTTAGGTACAGAATTTCTTAGTTCACTTTTGGCAAGGAATGCCCAGTCATATGCTGGAAGTCCTCAGTTGCAGCGAAGTTGTAGACCTAATTGGTCAGTGTGACACCATCCTATACAAAGCCATCAGCGGAGTATTAATTCCCGGAACTCTTCAGCCTTTACCAGCAAGGTGAGATCGTTTGTCAATGTGCAAAATAAATAATTAAATTAATAAATAATAGAAATTTCAAAACCAACTGGAGCCGAAACACTTACATTTGTTGCTTGCTTCCGAATTCTCCCTTTTTTTCTCCTTCATCTCATTTCTCTTGTTGCTTGCTTTCGATTTCTCTCCTTAACGTCACAAATATAAATCTCTTATCATGAAGGCCTCAATTTTCGCTTGCTTTATTTGTCAGACACGACCTTGTTGCGAGCTTCTACTTTTTAGACAGTTTATTATTATTATAAAAAAATGGTGCTTCTTTTTATCAAGACGTAGTTTCATTTTGATACTAAGATAGTTATTAAGTAAATATAATTATCTGATTGCAGTTTGACTCAAGCAATCCGTCAGTTTGCACAACAGCTGGACGAGTGGTTGACTGAATCGTTGACTCATTTGCCGGAACCATTACAGAAGAAAAAGTTGGCAGGTGAGAAAGTGTGCAATGTGTGCTAATTTTAAAAAAATTTCTCTACGAATGTGATGTCAGTATCGTGTTGTAAATAGAACACCATAGTCATTTTCTTTGTTACTTTTCAGTTGCTAAGAGTTTCTCACACTCACTGCGAAGGCAGACGTCTTTAACACATCTTGCACAGGTAGGAAAAAACAAAGTTGTCAATGTTTTACAATAAGTACTTCGCATTGGATGACAGTCGGGTGAGATCCGTTTTCATGGGAAACGGTTGTGCGTGTCATATGTTGTAACCCCTTCAACCGGGCAAAAACATAATATGATCAAATATGTATTATTCTTTGATCAAATCGCTATTTTTCCTTCTCAGTTTACCTTCTAAATAAATCGTAAATTTTCTTTAAGGATTCATGACAGCTAAAAAAAGCCAGAAAAAAGAAGACAACAGAAATATTGACAAAACAGGCTAAAAAAAATAAACGAATTTTAGACTGAAAATAAATGTAACTTACTGTTTCATATGACCTGATCGTCTGAATCATACTATTAGGCTAGCTTTCGTTGCTTGTTTTTGAAAAGTGTCTTCTTCGCTAATTCCCAGGCTGCCCGGACAGTATTGCATAGCGCAGAGCCTGTATCCCAGATGCTTAATGATTGGAAGCAAATCGACTTCGAAGGAATTACCCGTCAGGCCATGTGGACTTTCAGCGAATCCGTAGACGACGATTATGAACTTGTTTACGAACGTAAGTGCGCAAAACTGGTTTTAATTGTTTTCCTTTCGTTTTAAATCTGACGCAGTAAGTTTAGTCTTATTAACAAGATTTTACGGGTTTACTCAAATTTGCAGACTATAAAGAGTTTACACAGCTTCTCGATCAGCAAGCAACCATAGATCAGTACGCCGAATGGGCATCCAGTTTGGTCAACCGCTGTGTTTTGAAGGTGAGTGCAGTGGGCGTGCCTTTGTCAGGGCCTCTCAGTCTAATGCACAAGAAGTAGTATTCCCTTTAAAAGTTGATTGTTCAGATACAAGGAATGACTTGTTTATCGAAACTCTATAGTGATGAAAAGCGAAGGGTGTTTTTCAAAATATTTTTATGGCCCTGGATTCGAAAGCCCCCTGGCCGCGTCAATGTGTTGAGTCCAAGGGTGGGTAAATTGAGTCCTACTGCCTCTATTCACCCAGGGGTATAAACAGGTACCAGCAAAAAGTAGGAGAAAATTGATACACGTTGAGGAGTAAGTCTGCTTTGGACTGTAATTCCTTTCAAATGCAGAAACAATAATCCCCATCACTTTAAGCATTGAACTCTCCATCACTTTAGGCTTCATCAGGTGAGGTCTCTGGTTTTTTAAACCTACTTTCTACCTTTTAAATATATCAGTGAATGGAAGTAACCGTAGAATACCCCTATTTTGGTTGCGCCACAAAAAAATTTACCTGATCATGAGGCTCTGTAATGTTCCTATGTTCTTGCATCTTAGCAGTTAATAAGCAGTTAATTTTTATAGTTTCCCCTCAAAATCAAGTGACCCCTCCCCCCCAAAGAACAATCCTTTGCCCCCCACCCCTTGGCAGTTAATGATGACTTGTCGCCAGACCCTTGCAAACCTAAACTGAGTTATATCTAAACTTTCCCTCAAGTTTCGAATTCTCTCTCTTTTCTTTTAGCAAGTGGAGAAGACTGGAAAAACTTACAAGGAGTGCTCAAAAGATTTTCTTCTCAAATGGTCCTTTTTCAGCATTAAAATTGTGCGGGAATTAACATTGCACAGCGCTCACAGCTTCGGTAAGTCCTTCTCCAAACGCAACTAAAACTCTGTTATGCTCTTTTAGACCCTAACATTTTTGCTTGCATATAATTTTTAAATCCTTGGGTACCATCGTTTTAACTGATCCGTTGTCGATTTATCGCAGGTTCATTTCACCTACTACACATGCTCCTCGAAGATTATATCCTTTACACGGTTGAAAACCACAACAATGTGGATGAACCATCGGCCCAGTCCTCTGTTCGCGTTACCAAGGAGACCAACGTTCTGGAGGGTTAGTGTTACAATAGCTTACACTGAAGGAATTAGTTACTTCTTTAATTCAAGATTAGCTTTGTAATGGCTTGCGTATCTTCAAAAATGTTGCGCAATTTGTTTCCAGTCTTTCATAATCTTCTCCACCCTTGACCATTCTTGCCCCAATTTTCGTTCATTCCTTCCCTTTATCCATTTTCTCCCTTCCCATTTTCTACGCCCAAAGTGCAATACAAAATATTGTCACAAAGCTCTTTCCAAACGGAGCTCTAAACAGCATTAATGACGTAGAGAGTAATTAATGGTTCTGAAAATTTTTTAATAGGAGAATTAACAAATAAAATACCTTTTGTTTGTCACAGAACCTACGAGCGAAGGCATGGAAGTTGATGTCGTTGGGCCGAGGTCCACTGGCGCTAGGAAGACTGCTTGTCGAAGACATTCAAGCTCTTCTTCAATGGGTTCTCACAGGAGCCCCAGAGACTTGCCTTCCCAGAGGAGCCCAGCACAGCCCGTCATGATGCGTTCTTCGTATCACGACATGTCGCCGCATCCCATGACACCAATGACGCCTACCACACCAACAAACAACAACAATAACAACAACAACAATATAGGGAAATACCCCATGATGGCAGAACAGGGCCACTTCCTATATCCGTCGCCTGAGGCCTATGGAGCAAGGTATAGTTATGGGCCCAGCCAAGGTAGCTTGATGCCCGCTATGAATCATGGAAACAGCTTTGCCCCGACCAGTGGAAGTGAAGGGGGAATTGCCATGGGAGACTTTGACATGTCGAGCAGTTATGCGACAGATGGAACTGGGTATGCCGCTGGTCGCTCTAAAACCAGTATGGCGGACTCCAGCTACGCAGTTATGAATCCTGCAGCCAACATGGCGGCTTATGATTACAGGGGAATCTCTTCAATGGACCATATGAAGCATTATTCTCAGTACCCTCTCTCGGAACGAAGCTATCCTTCCAGTTACATGTTTCCAACGGCCGCAATAACGACAAACGCCATGTATCCTCTGTCAGGGGTCAGCGGTGGCACTAATGACAGGTTTTATCCGGATGTGCTCGAGGAGTTCGTAGATATGCAGGCTGCAATGCATCATGGAATGCCTCCCCGATCTGTGAGGTCCGATTATCCTTACACACCCGCAATCCTGAGCAATTAGATACTTTGGTTGATGTTGAGGAGAAACGTAAATCAACTGTATGGTATTCAAATTTTAATAGTCTTAATCGAAACTTGAAAAAATATTTTCATGGAAATCTTTAGTATCTATTGAAGATCGTATTGCATATAAAAAATTATAAGAAGTTCTTGTAGAAATTTGATGCCATACAATGAATGATGAAATCATATCAAAGACAAAATGAATTATTTTAACTTAAAACTTAGAATTTTACGGGGTTTACAAAATTTTTACCTCTGAGGATGAAATATTGTTTTTCAGATAGTTTGAAAATGACGCTGTTGTAGTTTGGACAACAACAAAAGTTGATAAAGTGATTTATTCACATTTTGTAGAATTGTGCTGGTAAAAAGACGCAAGAGTACAATATTATTTAAGAATACGATATTTTACCAGCTAAATCACGAAGTGAGAGGAATCGGTTTTAGATAAGTTTGAACGTTTCTCGTTACCTACAGGAGACGTCCCAGTATACCAAAATGTGAATCAATGTTCGCATCCGAGCAACTGCGCACCTACTCCCCCCCCTTCCCCCTCCCCCACTCTCACCCAGCAACAGTCAATTTTTAATAGCTTAAGTTATGTTGTGGTGGGGGGGGAGGTTAGGTGAACAGTTGTTCAGATACTGACAACTTTCACGTAGTTTTCTTCGTAGCCGTATTTTGGGCTCGTAAATCAATTATCTAAATACGAGGGAAAATTTATTGCATGCATGTTCGTGTATTTTGCGATGTAATATATTTTATGCAAAAAATCTAACTATCAACTGCAGCATCAAAGCTACTATTGAAATAATCTATCGGTTAATAAATCAATTAATTTTAACAACGTCAAGGACCGGTCATTATTTATTATCGGAGGGAAGGGTCGGAGGATTTTGATTTTGTCAGGTTTATATTTACCTGGTTTACATCTAAGGCTTGGTAATATTCTTTAAACATTTTCCCCTCCCCC